GCGCTCCCACATCCTTCCTCGTCCGACTCCCTCTAGCACCTTTGTCCCGCCACCTTTCGTGGCTGGGCCAGTGGTAACGTTCATCTCTGCCCAGACCACTTGACTTGGGAGAGTTGGCCACGTACTGGGACTCCCAGCTGATTATTTCCCCTCTTTGGGTCTCAGTTTCCCTATCTGCAAATGAGAAGCTGGGTTGAGTGATCTTTAAGGCCTCATCCACTCTGATGTTCTAGGTCGGATATTGTACTTTGACCCAAGTGTAGTTCCCATGGGAGGCATTGTGTGTCATAAGAACTTGGCAAACCTAATTTGCCAGTTGCTGGACCCTAACAAGTTACCTTACCTCCCTGGACTCCAATATATGCATATATAAAATCAGTGTACTACAGTGCATCTCCTTTATTAATTCTGAGGATAATATGAATCAAAGTACAAAGTCCAGATCAGTGTAGATTCAATATTTGTTAGTTTCCTTCCTTTGTCTATTACTTCCCCCACATTTTCCCTCTCTGGGAAATGTTACCAACCCCCGTGGCATGAGCTGTTATTTCTCCGGTTGACCCTCAGATCCATATGTCCCTCTCTAATCTTTCTCCTGGGCTTCCATTTTAGGGATACTTGATTGGGGGTGGGGGGCAGATAAGAGATTATTATGTGCCACATAACAATGTTTCCATCAAGGATGGACTGCATATACCATGGTGGTCCCATAAGATTATAATGGAGCTGAAAAATTCCTATGGCCTAGTGATGTCATAGCCATCATAATGTGATAGCACAATGCATTACTCATATGTTTATGGTGATGGTGATGTAAACAAACCTGTGCTGCCAGTCCTTTTAAAGTATAGCACATATAGTTATGTACAGTACATAATACTTGATAATAAATGACTTACTGGTTTATGTATTTGCTATAACTATACTTCTATCATTATTTTAAAGTATATTCCTTCTACTTAGCAAAAAAAAAAAGTTAACTGAAAATAGCCTCAGGCAGGTCCTTCAGGAGGTATTCCAGAAGAAGACATTGTTATCATAGGAGATGACAGCTCCAGGTGTGTTATTGCCCTTGAAGACCTTCCAGTGGGACAAGATGGAGGTGGAAGACAGTGATATTGATGATCCTGACATCTCCATGTAGACGTAGGCTAATGTGTGTATTTGTATCTTAGTTCTTTCTTTTGAGATAGAGTCTCACTCTGTCACCTGGGCTAGAGTGCTGTGGCATCAGCCTAGCTCACAGCAACTTAAAACTCCTGGGCTTACGTAATCCTCCTGCCTCAGCCTTCTGAGTAGCTGGGACTTCAGGCACGTACCACCACACCTGGCTAATTTTTTCTGTTTTTAGTAAAGATGGGGTCTCACTCTTGCTGAGGCTGGTCTCAAACTCCTGACCTCAAGCGATCTTCCCACCTCAGCCTCCCAGAGTGTTAGGATTACATGTGTGAGCCACTGCACCTGGCCTGTGTCTTAGTTCTTAACAAAAAAGTTTAAAAAGTAAATAAATAAATAAAATATTTTAAAAATAGAAAAAAGCTTATAGAATAAGAATATAAAGAAAATATTTTTGTACATCTGTACAGTATGTTTGTGTTTAAGCTAAGTATTATTACAAAATAATCAAAAAGTTTAAAAAATTAAAAAGTTTACAAGATAAAAAGTTACTGTAAGTTAAGGTTAATTAGCTTAACCTTAATATAAGAAAGAAATATTTTTGTATACTTTTAGTGTAGCCTAAGTGTATAGTGTTTATAAAGTAGTGTATAGTAATGTCCTAGGCCTTCAAATTCACTCACCACTCACCCCAACTCAGCACAGCAACTTCCAGTCTTGCAAGTGCTATTCATTGTAAGGACCCTGTATAGGTGTGTCATTTTTTATCTTTTATATCATATATTTACTGTACCTTTTCTATGTTTAGGTATATTTAGATGCATAAATACTTACCATCGTATTACAGTTGCCTACAGTATTCAGTATAGTAACATGCTATACAGGTTTGTAGCCCAGGAGCGGTAGGCTGTATTATATAGCCTAGGTTTGTAGTAGGCTATATCACCTGGGTTTGTGTAAGCACACTCTATGATGTTCACGCATGATGAAATTGCCTAATGACACGTTTGTCAGAACAAATCCCCTTCATTAAGTGACATAATGACTATATTGATGTGATACTTGGATTGATGACTTCCCTTCTGCCCCTGTTAACCCATGATTTGGTGATTTCTTCCTCCTAACTAGATACCCCTATTTTCATATCTCTCCAGCACCTTAAAGTCTGTAGTTCTAAAATCAAACTGGCCTGCTTCTCTACCTACTCATCTCTTCTACATGGTTCCCCCCATTCCTGTGAGTGGCACCTCCATCCTTTTGGGGCATCGTTCGTCACTCTGCCATGCCCATTCCGCTCATGCAGTTATCAGGTTGTTTTGATTCTGCCTCCATGAGGAGTTCACATCCTCTCCATTCCTGAAGCTACCACCCTGGTTCAAGTCTATAATGCCTGTCATCTTGGCCATTGCTGTAGCTTCCTAACTGCTGTCCCTGCCTCAGTCTATCCTGTCAACCCAGCCCACCACAATAATTGCCCTAAAGCACAACCCTGTCACCCACGACCAGGAGACCGCCAAAGGGCTTTCCCATTCCCCACAAAAAATATCCACACTTCTTAAGTCTGGGTTTCGAGCCCTTCACTTCCACAACCCAATCCCAGCCTTTCCCCAGCCTTATTTCTCCCTTTGCCACATTCTATCCTCCAGCCAAATTGGACTGTTGGACTTTCACAGAAAAATGCTTTGCGCTTTCTGTTTTGGTAACACTGTGTTTGTTCACCTGCCTGGAAGGTCTTCCTCACCTTGCCCTCTTGTCAAGATTCCCACTCACCTTTCAAGCCCTGACTTAAATGTTACATCTGCCACCAACTTCTCTTCCTGTCCTCTCTCACTCCCTCAAGAGTTTTCCTCTTTTCTCTATCTCTACATCTGTCTCCTGGCACTTCTTTCTGCCATGAACCATAGTTAGTTCCTTGTGTATGTGTGTTGGTCTCCATATTGGAGTGTAAGCTCCTTGAAAACAGAGACTGTCTCTTGCTTATAGTGGAGTAGTTGAAAAAGCATTATCGTTGAAGTTGTATATACCTGGGATGGAAATTTAGCACTTCCATTTATTAGCTGTGTGGACAGTCACTTTCCTTTCCTTAGCCACCTTGCCCATCAATAAAATAGGGGTAATAGTGTCTTTTTGACCGAGTTCCTGGGGGAAGTAAATTAGATCCTGTATGTAGAATCCCCATGCTGGTGCCAGCCTCAAGATCAGTGTTCAGCAAATCTTATTGAATGGATTCGATGGGTCCTCTCCCTTCCTAAGGGGCAAATGAAATATAATTTAATTACAATTTGGATATTTTTTGGACTTCTGCCATGTGCTTTTGCTGATCTGGAGCATCTAATGAAGAATAAAGTCCCTCAGCCTCAGCCGATTGTCCTGACTCACGACACATGGTTAAGTCGTGATGGGTTGTGAGATGTCAGTGGTAATTAGCTGTTGTGAATGTGTTTCCAAAAAATAAATTCTTGCTAAGTCCTATTTATTTCTTAGTCCCTTACATTCAAATCTGTTCACTTGAGTGGGAAGAAAGTGGGTGGGAGCCTGCCTAGTCTGCTGTCTGTAGTAAGCAGCTGTTCTCCTAGAGAGCTAATAGCTGTGATGGTTATGACTTTTTGTTATACTTTGTATCTTGACAAATTGGGATTTCATCCAAACTTGGACATACTACATGAATCAATGTCCTTTATCACATGGTGCTGGACATGAGGAAAATGTTGAGACTTGCTGATCCAGGCTAATCCACAGGTGTCTCTTCTCTTCCACACCACTCCCTCTCTCTGCCCCTGCCCCAGTCCAAGGCACGTTTTTGCCTTGGACCTTAGCAAAATGAGGGGGAAAAAATAAGGACCACATTTAAAAAAACAACCTTTGTATGTCTTTTCTTGAGAAGGGCCAACATTTATTCTGCCAAATTTTCCTCTTTTAGAGTAGATGTATCTTCCAATGCTCTTACTCAGCAGAATTTAAAAATGGCAGCTCTGTGTTTGCTCCCCCCATTTTAAACTGATCTGAGAAACCTGGTGTTTGGCATTGTTTCCTGACCTCCCCACTGACGTCTTGGATAGATACCTCAAAGTCCTAAGGATCCTTTCTCCTCCCCTTGCCAGCTTTGTTCTTCATTTGTTTGCCAGAAGGCAGAGGGAGGACATGTCAAGAAAAGGCTGAGGATGACTGAGGTGCCCTAATGTGTATTCCTGACATGGCGGGAGGCAGGCTGAGACAGATGGCTGGACTGGTGGATGTTGGGTATTGAAGTCATTTGTGTTACTGTTTGTCTCCTGCTTGCTTGTGCCAAAGGAGAAGTCACAGAAGATAGCGTCAGAAGAATAGGTCCAGGTTCAGATCCCATTGCTGGCTTTGCACCCTCAGGCCAGCCATAAAACCTCTCTGAGCTCCCTTTGCCTTAACTGAGAACTGGGAGCCAGATACTTCCCTTACAAGTTGTTACAAAGATGGAATGAGACACAGTGTTGAAGTACAGTGTAATCACACCGCTACCACTTTGGCCTCTGGTGGCAAACAGGTTGTATAGAATTTTTCTGTGTGTGTGATTCTTTTCTCCTTCAGTGCTAACACAGTGATTTGTACATAGTGGGAACTTGGGAAATACTGGTTTGATTGGCTGAACATTTAAATGTACAGCTGATTGGTATGTGAAAGATATCACAGTTTCCCTTCCTTCTGTACCAGCAACAGGAGCTGATGTTTACTGTGAGATAAAGTCTATTCTTATTCCCAATTTCCAGATAAGAAAATGGAGACTGAGAGAGGTGAGCACTAGTCTCAAACAGAACCAAGGTGTGACTTCAGGTCTGCCTGTAGAGCCTGTACTCAGAACCTCCATGACCTGTCCCACATGTGTCCTTCAGTCTCAGATATGTGACGGGTCGTAAAGGGTGGCATGCCATGATCTAAGAGCCAAGAATGTTCCAGTCATTGAGTGACTGTCCCTCCCAAGGGGGCTTGCAGGTACTTTTGGCCTTGTTTCCCAAAATCCATTCATTTTCCCTCATCCCTCCCATATACCCTAACCCTCTTAAGGATTCTTCCCAGATGCTTCAGAAGCAAAATAATAGATGGTAATTGAGGTTAACGCCACAAAAAAAAAAAAAAAAAAGGGACAGTGAGACAAGGAACACCGGCTTTGACAGGCCATGAGACAGAGAGCCCTCGTCTGTGCCCTTGTCGCCCAGGCAGAGCCGCACGTCTGACATGGCTGTGTAAAGCATGCAGGCAGGCCGTGGGTAAGGAGGGAGAGAACAAGGCTGCCCCTGGCTTTGTGCATCGTGACGGCCAGATGGGATGAGGTCGAGCTTCGGTACCCAGTAGATTCTAGTATCCTGGCTGTGGGCACGCTTACATTATTAAAAGGCTCTTTTAGGCTTGACACGACTTCGTTTTGGCCTGAAGCATTCAGGCACACACTCATTTGCGTGGAAGATTGATAAGGTTATTAGAATCTCTAGTTCTGCTATTTTTGGTAGAATTCTTTCAGCAGGGTTTTTTTTTTTTAATCGTGGCTGAATGGAGCTATATCATAATGATATAGTATCATAAAAATTCTCCTGTCTTTCTGTATTTGGAAACACATCATCTATAACTATTCCTTTTTATTCTGTAAGCCTCAGCCCTTTTGGATCCCCAGAAGTATATGTAGTGGTTAGGAAAAGCTCTTTGCAACCATGGTCTTTAATAAACTTGGTTGAATAATGTTGACCAAGTCCTAGCTAATAACACGGTGGCAGTAGAGAGCAGTGTGATGATATTGGTGCAGAGAGGTTGAAAATTTCAGAACACTCAAATCCATACACTTGGGGCTTACAGCAGCTTTTTGAGATTGGGAAGAAGATGGATTAGTATCCCTTTTAATAGAGAGGTTGCATTATTTGCCCAAGGCAAAGAAGTAAACAGAATTCATTTCTGTTATTGAACTGGTATTTATACCTAAGTATTCTGGCTCATGGTCCTACACAGCTCTCTACAAGGTGCTATCCCAGTGGCTTTTTCCCCTTTGTTCCTGAGGAATGGGCTTTGGTAATATCTCTGAAGTCTTATGACGTTTCAGCAGGATTCTATGTCTCTGAACCAAGTTTAAGCAGCTGCCACTGACCCTGACCTTGAGGGCAGCATGTGCATAATTGGCTCTCAGTTCCCTTTCTGGCTCCTACATGCCACCACTTTTGGGCCCTAAGGATGAACTGAATCAAATCATATTTAGGGGGAAGACGCCTAAGCAGCTGCTTCCACATTTTAAGTTGTTCCCGCTTGAAATAAACAAGCCATAATACCCTTTTCCTTTTGTCATCAGTGTAGCCACCACCTCTGTCACACCTTGATGAATGTGGAGGAGGAGGCAATAAAGTGGCTATTACTAAAGCTGGGAGGACAAGATGGAATTGGAGATGGGCCTTAACATTAATAAGCAAAGACAAAATGATTCACTGGATTTTGTGAAATAAGAAACCTGACCAGGAAGTACAAGGAGATTGCGCTTGGTAATTTTCCAGGTTATATGTAGAGACAAAAAAATTTGCTAATATCTGAGTGGTGCAAATGCCCAGAATTGATGAGATAAGAGAAGCCATATGTCCATTGAGAAATTAGCAAATACCAGTGTCATGGGATAGTGGAGTCCGTGCCGGGCTTCCAGCCTCGCTCAGGGAGCTGACCAAATGGAGGGCACTGAGGGCTTCTGTAGCATGTCGGGGAGGGGATAAAATTGAGAGTGCAGCCCAGAAAGCGTGCCTGGAAAGCTCAAGTCTCGGCCAAACCAGGGTCCAGTTAACATTAGAACAGTAGGCACTGAAAAGGAAGATCGAACATTTATCTCCCTGCTGGGATCACAGGAGCCACACTAGTGGGCAGTTCCACAAATGTGTCGTGAGCGCCTGATGCATGTCCATTGGGGGGCTGTGTGAATAGGGGTTAGCAGTGCCCATGCCGGGCTCTGTCACAGCCCAGCTCTGTCACTCACTAGCTGAGTGGCCTCAGGCCAGCGACCTCACAGATTCCTGCCTCTGTGCTTGCAGGACCTAACTCCCAGGGTTGTTGCACTGACGAGCTGCGTAAGTGCATGTGGCACACTCAGAACAGTGGCTGGCACATGGGAAACCTACCAGCTGTTGCTTGTCATTACCTGCCCGTTAGTTACTGTACTAAGCATCTTGGGGTTCAGTGACTGCATTGATAGTAAGTTCCCTTGGAAATGTGAGAAATGCTGGAATAACATTTAGCTGTGCTGTCCAATACAGATCATCCAAAAGGGCTAAGCAATGTGGCGATTTGTATTCATTTGTGTCAGTAGTTCTGAGATTCAAAGCCCTTTAAATTATAGGATAAATTGAATTGTAGGATGAAAGACAAATGCCAGGGTTTCCAGCAGTGCTCCCAGGCATCTAGGATCTAGGCCTGTCTCTTTAGGAAACACCCCATCTGTTAGTAGATAACTTGGTTTTTGTGGGGTGTGATGGGGGTGGGGAGAATGGGGAGGAACACTCACATATGTGTAAGGTGTCATAACTTTGCTTTCGTACCCACACGCATTCTCTCATTTGATCCCCCTGGGAGCCAGAGGGAGGGAACAGCAGTGTATTGGGTGCCAACCATGTGCATTGTGTTAAGTTGCTTTATATATGTTATCTCATTGAATTCTCTATAACAGCCCCATGAGATAGATATGACTGTCCCTGTGTTACTGGTGAGGAAACTGAAGCCCAAGGCCATGCTGCTGGTGGGCAGTTGAACCAGCACCAGTGCCTAAGCCTCCCAACTCCTGGGCCAGCCAGACAGGACCTGGTGGCCCAAGAGGAAGTAGGCAGGAACAGTTGGGTAGCCTGGTGTGCCCACAGCATGGATCAGCACGTTCCTTTTTCCCCACAATCAGAGGCCTGTGCAGAGGGCTCCTTGCTTGCCAATAAACTCAGATTGTTGATGTTGACCTGAACATTTAACTTCCTAACAGTGTCTTCTGGGAATTAAGGACCATGTATGTAGTGGGCATACAGAGAAGCTGCATTTGTTAATTGCTGGCTCAAGGCTCCATCCTGCAGGCCTGGCCCGCAGTCAGTATTTGTCTTGATAATGACAGTGTGGGCTTGCAGCATCCTACCAGTGTGTTCTTAACCAGGTCCCAGCATCTCATGTTGACTCATCCTCCTGTCTGCAGACTCGTTGGCCATTTGGAAAAGGATGTGGAGGAGTTAAGATGGGGAGGTGTCAAATCGTTACTGAGACATTTCTAATTTGTGATGTATGGTTTTAAAGCCAACTCTTTTCTCCTGGTTTTTCCTGTTTTCTACAGCACCCCTTGGGGAAAGACATTTTCTGCTCCCGCCAAGTTGGCAGGGCTTGCATCCTGAACCTCCTGGGTGTGTCTTAATTGCCAGTTCCAGCACTTCCCGAAAGCCCCACTCTCTCCTCCAGTGGTCACCGTGGAAGGATCATGGGAGAGACAGAAGGGAAGAAAGATGAGGCTGATTATAAGCGACTGCAGACCTTTCCTCTGGTCAGGGTAAGCCCCGGGGGCGGGAGACAGGACGGCCCGCAGGGCCCACACAGCCTGGAAAGAGGTAGGTGGAGCTTATGCCCTGCAGGATGGCAGTGGGAGGAAGTTAAGAAGGGTGGTGCTTGCTCGGACCTAGACATCTAGGAGTCAACAGTGATTCATTCATTCATTCATTCATTCATTCGCCAAGTATTTATTTAGGCCACCTGCTATATACCAGGCACTGTGGAAATGGTAAACGAGACCGATAAAGACCTGGCCTACATGACAGAAATGTTTGAAAAACATAATTGCAGGCAATGAGTGCTATAAAGAAAAATGAAGTTTAGGTCAGGACTGACAATAGAGAAAAAAAAAAAAAAAGAAAAATGAAGCAGATGTAAGGGGCTAGAGAGCAGAGGTTGGCTTTTGGAGAGGTTTCTCCAATCGGAGACTTGGATGAAGTTGGGGAGCAAGCCTTGCAGCTATCTGGGGAGAATGTGCCAAGCAGGGGAAGCAGAGGCACAGGAAACTGGAGAATGAGCTCAGCATTTTGGAAGAACAGAAAAAGGCCAGCATGGCTGGAATGGGGTGCTGAGAGAGGTGGCAGGGCATGAGGGCCAGAGCCCACAGGCCTGGCCAGCCACAGGGAAGAGTGTGGTGACACATGTGGGTCTATCCTGAGTTGAAAGGGGAGCAGTGGAAGGTTTTAAGCAGAGGGGTGATGTGATCTGTTTTATGTTTTCAGAAGATCACTCTAGCTTTTTTGAGGAGAATGGATTTTAGGGCACCAAAGTAGAAATGGGAAAACCAGTGAGGACACTATTGCAGAGGCCCTGAGAGATGAGGATGGCTGGGCCCAGGTCACAGGGTGGAGGCATGAGACGTGGTCAGGTTCAGGACATACGTTGAAGGTAGAGGCTGTAGGGCTTGCTGACAGGTGGATGCTAGGTATGGGGGAAAGAGAGTAAAGGATGACTCCTACGGTCTGCTTTTCTCTGAATAATGGAGGAAAAATGATATTAATTACCAGGAAAGGGAAGGTAGAGGAAGAATGGATTAGTGGGGAAACAAAAGTTGTTTTCAAGACATCCAAGTGAGGTTGTCAAGTGGGCGGTTGGACATAGGAGTCTGGAGCCCAAATAAGGTTAGAGCTGGGAGTGAAAGTGTGGAAACCCTCCCCATTCAGAAGACTTCTAGATGCATGGAACAGGACGAGGTCCCTTAGAGGTGGAGTAGCTGGAGAAGGCAGAGGGTGGAGACGGGCCCTGGGCCCTGCAGGAGTTGGAAGGAGGAGGGGATCTAGCAAATCCAGGGAGAAGGGGCAGCTGGAGAGGCAGGAGGAAAACCAGAGCCTCGGGAGGGGCCAAGCAGCCTCTTCAGGCTTCTGGGGTGAGATTCCGCTGGAAACCATTTCCATAGCTGGCATTCCCTCCGTGCCTGGGCCGGCCTCCTTCCATGTCTGTTGGCTGGAACACGGTATCGCTGAAGCTTCATGCCCTTGCAGAGGGGCTGGGGCTGGAGAGTTCATGTGGCTCAGCTTGGTTCCTCTCCCCTCTGCCCCAGTGATAGGCCCCCAGCCAGGAGATGGGTCGCCCACCCAGGCTGTGCCAGGGAAGCTACCTGGTGTCCATGCCTTAAGCTTGGGACAGAGAGGCCAGCCAGGAAGGCCAGGTCATGGGCTAAGCCTCTCTCTGTTTGTCACCCTGCCCTGTCTCTAGCACTCGGACATGCCAGAGGAGATGCGAGTGGAGACCATGGAGCTATGTGTCACAGCCTGTGAGAAATTCTCCAACAACAACGAGGTATTGCCATCAGAGCAGGCGGCCCCTCGTGTCTTTGGTGACCCCTGTGGGTGAATAGAGTGGCCCAGTCCCCTGTGGTCAGCTCCAGAGAATCCTGCTGGGACTAGGCTAGAGCCTCCCTTGGAAGCATTTGAAGTCTGGGAAAGGCCAGTGAGAGAGGCAGCTGGTGCTGACTCCGGGCACTGATGGTCACGCCCAGTTCTAGAGGGAGAAAAGCCAGAGGGGTCTCCGCGATACCCTGCCCATGCTCCCTGCTCAGGCAGCTACTGAATAGTGTGCCTTTCCCCATGGCTCCGTCCTAGCCATGAACAGAGGCCTGCCCAGGCATCCATTCATACATTCATTCATCCATCTAGAAAAGATGTTGAACACCATCTCAGTGCCAGGCACTGTCCTAGGTGCTGGGGAACCAGCTAGTAGGCATCGACACGGGAATGTCATTCATCAATATGGTGGTAAGCAGGAAAGAAGTCACTGTCGTGGCAGCCAGTGGGGTGGCAGACCCTGGCCAGTGACTCCAGGCATTGGGACAGCTGGGCCCAAGTTCAAATCCTATCTCTAGCTGTTCCTAGCTCTGTTCCCTTGGACAGCCATTTCTCTGAGCCCAGTTTCCTAGTCTATAAATGAGGGATGGAGATGATCCTTCCTCACTGGGCTAGTTATGAGGGCTATTTACTGGGACAATGGGGACAAAGTGCTCAGCATGGCACCTGGCATGGTGATGGGTGCTGTCGGTGCACATCAAATGCCTGAACATGGCTCTGCAAGGCTGGGTGCTCTGCCTGTCCCTAGGCCTCTTCTCCACGTTGAAGGGAAGTTTCTTGAAAGAGCAAGCACAGGAAGACTTAGTCTGTGGCTATGACTGGGGGGAGGAGTCAGCTCCTCCCTGCAGCCCCCTGAACCCAGTAAGGCACCACGCGTGGTGATGGAAACCTTCCCAGCCTGCACGCGCACACACGTCTGTTCACTCAGTTAGTCCTGAGAGCTGTTTCCAGTTGAGGAAATTGGTACCGACCCGGGAACCCAGCACTAAGTGCAGAGCCAGCACTCAGACCAGGCTGTCTCCAGACCTAATGCTTGTTTTCCCGCCTCAGCCAGTTTCTTCTTGACTGCTGAGGTAATGTCTAGCTTTCTGTCCCTGTGTAATAGCCCTGGCAGGAGGTGACCTGTGTAGAAGCCCTTTGTGACGGTTCTCTGAGCAGGAGGACAACAGAAATAGGACAGCAGGCCTTCCTCTTGCCAAGACCTTGTTGCCAGACTTCTTCCTCCTGGAGAGGGACCTGACTCATGCCCCTTCTCTCCCCCACTACCCCCTGATGAGCACCCTATTCGTTCCAGAGTGCCGCCAAAATGATCAAAGAGACGATGGACAAGAAGTTCGGCTCCTCCTGGCATGTGGTGATCGGCGAAGGCTTTGGGTTTGAGATCACACACGAGGTGAAGAACCTCCTCTACCTGTACTTCGGGGGGACCCTGGCTGTGTGTGTCTGGAAGTGTTCCTGATGCTCTGTCCCCAGCTCCTGTCCCTGTCCCCTGCAGGCCTTTTCCTGCCACTCATCTGGGACGAGGAGCAGCCCCAGGCAGGTCCTGGGTTTTCCAAGGAGAGTTTGGGGTCTTTTCTTTTTGTCCTATGTGCCAGTTTCCTGAGCCATGCCCAGTGTGTGAACTTGTTGACATCTGTAGCCCCAGGCCCTCAGCCATCTCATGCGGAGTCCCAAGGTGTCCACGGGCCAGCAGGTGGCAGTCTCTGGGGGGAATGTGGGGTGGGGAAGTGCAACAGGGTAAAGGAGGTGGGGAGATGGGATTTTTCCCATGAGGGTGTGCCAGGCCCCCCTTCCTCAAGAGCTGCCCTCCCCTCAAATCCCGGGAGTCCCACTGCCCTTCCGTCCCAGTGCTAAGGAGTGTCCGCTGCCCTTACCATCAGTGGCCATATGAAAATGGCCCCAGGAAGGAGCCTCTCCTCTCAAGGGACACGGGCAGCTTCTCTCCTTGTCCTCTGGCCCAGTGCTGACCCCGGCAGAAGCCGCTCCCCCGCTTGGCCCCAGGCTGAACAAGCCACTGCATCTCACTGGGCAGCCGCACCGCAGCCCCGGCTTTGGCATGGAGACCAGGCAGCCTTTGTCCGTCCTTTCCACCCACCAGGCATGAACCTTTCGCATTGCCTCAGCCCGCGCAGTTGAAAGCCAGGGGCCGGCGGGTGGGAACTGCAGCCGGGCAGTTTCTGGAGGTGTCCCTGGGCCTCTGGCGAGACGCCTGGGCCAGGGGTGCTCTCGCCGCGAGGCTGCTTCCGCAGGGAACCTGGCCCGCCAGCTACTTGTCATCAGGGACTGCATGCTGATTTGTACTTATCTCTGCTGGCTTTTCTATATTCTTTTTGAGTGTGGGGAGAAGGGTTTTAGTAGAAGGGTGAATCATATTTTACACAGCAGTCTTATTTATATAAATGTCTTGGTTTTTACAATTAAAACTTCCAAAAACTGACCTCGATCTATATAGTCTCTTAAGGTTAGGGGAAGGTGTGATCAGTGTCTTCAGGCTTGGGTGGGTACCAGGAGCCCAGAGATGTTTCTGGTTAAACGGCAGAAGCCCTGGGCCCAGGCACAGTCCTACTCACCCCAACCTTGCCCTTCTCACCATTATGTCACTGAAGTTGGGGGCCGAGTGCAGTTGGATGGGGCCACATGGACACCGAAATACCCCTAGTGGCCAGACCGAGCTACTGCAAAGACGTTTGCAAGCCCACACCATTGTGCTCAGTTCAGCAGGTATTTATTCAACAGCTGCTGAGTGCCAGGTCCCAGGGACGGAGCAAAGGAAGGTGAAAAAGCCACAGATCTGGCCTTCAGTGAGCTCAGTCTACTGCAGAGGACCACTTGGGCCCCATCTTTTCAACCAATGTGCAAAGTGACATTATAAAGGACAGGGCATTCTGGGAGGGGGACGAAGGGGCTCCAAGCCCAGCCTGGGAAGTAACAGGGGTCTCCCTCCAGTAGGGTGAGGTCTGAAAGCCGAGGCTTGAAAGAAGGGTGGGATTTTACCAGAGCAGAGGGCTGCTCCAGGCCAGGGACATCTGAGTGAATGCAGGAGATAAGAAGTGGCTTGGGAATGAGGGACACATTGCAGAACCGTGAAGCCCCTGCAGCTCAGGGTTTGGCCCCCAAATCTGAGCCTCAGACCTGAACATGTTGGGCATGGGCAGAGCAGGGCAACTTGTCTTCCCCTTGTGCACAGGGCCCTCCTGAGGTGGCCCACGTAGGACCCTCAGGCCTGGAAGGCCAAGCCCTGGCCCAGTCCTGCCCTTCTGAGGCTGTGTCCAGTGTAACAAGATCTGCAGCAGCCTTGCTGGGTGGCGTTACGTCAAGCAGATAAGTTTGCTTAGACAAAGACCAGTGCAGCCAAGGAGGGAGGTTGCTGCCATATGCCACATCCTGGGACAGATGAAAGAAAGAATGGAGTTGCAGTCACTGCCCCAAAGCTGGCCATCCGGCTGGGTGGCCTTAGGATCTAACCTCAGAGCGGGTCCTGGCCCTCTAGGACTCGGTGGGTGGGGCAGCCCCTTGACCTCAGGCCTATGCTATCAGAGCCTGTGCCACTCCAGGTGCTGGCGAGGGGTTCTCGAGCTTCACAGATGGGAGTGGAAGGAGAGAGGGAGGCGGGCGGGGGTGGCACTCGGGGGAGGAGGGGAATGGGTGCCGAGGCCTGGAATAGCTACGGTTGATTAACCGCCTGCTTTGCATCTGTTCTCTCCTTTCGTCTGCTGCGCATGGGTGCCAAAAAGTGAGACTGGCTCAGCCTGCAACCGGGGTAGTGGGGGTGGCAGTGAGGGGTGTGGGCTCTGAGGTCCCTGCCCTTCCTAATCTTTCCGTGACTCAGTTGCTTTGTCTGTAGAACGAGGATAAAAAGTACCAGTGTCACGAGGCTGTTGGGGAGTGTTAGGACTCTGTCTGAATTAGGTGACACACCAAGGGTATGTGCTGTACCCTTATTACACACCCTTCTCTTATCACCTGTAGATGGTGTCACCTGTGCTGACAGCCAGCCCCTCAGGACCGGGTGGGAATTTGGTGAGAGTGGGCTTGTGCACTGCCCGGCCTTCATAGGCGTGCAGTGCAGCGGCGCCACTGATGGCCAGCACCCCTTCCACCTCAGTCACTTCTGGGTTTTTTTTGTTTTCTGTGAGACAGAGTCTTGCTTTGTTGCCCCAGGTAGACTACAGTGGCATCATCACAGCAACCTCAAACTCCTGGGCTAAAGTGACCCTCCTGCCTCAGCCTCCCGAGTAGCTGGGACTACAGGTGCACACCACCGTGCCTAGCTAATTTTCCTATGTTTAGTAGAGACAGGATCTTGCTCTTGGTTAGGCTGGTCTCGAACTCCTAACCTCAAGTGATCCTCCCACCTCAACCTCCCAGTGTTCTAGGATTACAGGAATGAGCCACCTCGCCTGGCCTCTCAGTCACTTCTGTCCATTGCATCCCTCCTCACTTGCCTTTCCAGAAATGAGTCAATAACTGCTTCCCTGTCCTACTCCCAGAGAGTTGTATGGTCACTGTTGGGCCAGATCAGGTGACTGGGGACCATAGTATGTGTGTTTCCCAGGGGTTTCTTCTCTTGACCCCAGTGGCTTTACTTCCCTCCACTCTCCAGGGCCTGTGCTAGCCAGGGTCACCCTGGCCTTCCTCCCAGGGCCTTCACTGCCCGTGGCCAGTGATTCAACAAGCATTTGCTGCAGGACTGGAACGGAGAGGGACATCACAATGAAGAAAGCACCATCCTTGCTAGCCAGTGGCTCACAGTCTACTGGGGGGTTAGACCCAGGAACAGAAAAGCAGAACATGCTAAAGTAATTTGCTAGAAGAGAGCAGGTGGGGTTCAGAGAATCTAGGGTTCGGAGAAGGGAGCAACTCTCACTGCCTGGGGGACTGAGGAAGGCTTCACAGAGGAGGTGACGTTGAACTAGGCCCTGGCATTTTCCGAGGGAGGGATGAGAGGGGGGTAGGTAGGGGAAGGCCACCGTCATTTGAGGGAGTGACAGCACGTGCAGAGCGGCGGCTCACAGAAGCTCACAGGTGTTCAGGGAAGTCAAACAGTTGCGTGTGGATCAGGAGAGGGTGAAGGTGTTGCTGGGGCTCGGGAGGAAAGAGGCTTTCCTCTGTCGACTGTACCCCACTTGGCAGGCACCTCCCTTAGCACTGTGATGTTGTATAATCCCCAGTAGACTGCAAGGTAGGAATTGCTGTCCCCATTTAGAAATCGAGAAACCAAGGCTCAGAGGATGGAGTGTCTGTCCCAGGGTCCAGCTAGAAGCAGCTCTAGCCAGGACTTCAACCCAGGCTGCCAGCCCCATAGTCCCTGTTCCTCCAGTACATGCTGCATTCTCAGGCCTTCTCTCCACCTCCCACCCTGCAGAGAGCTGGAATCCCCACGGCCTGGCCATGCCTGAGTGCACGCACCTCCTATCTACTTCCTCCCACTGTCCCCGGGCCTCCCCTGTCCCCTCTGCTCTGACCACAGCAGTGCTAATGCTTACTTAGTGAGGCAGCAACCACAGGCCCGCAGCCATGGCTGGCCCTGCCTTTCCACTGCCATCTGCGGCGTGGGGAGCAGTGGCTCATCCCTCTAACTCCTCAGTCCCCTCTGCTGGGCCCAGCCGGAGTCAACCTTTCCTGACATATCTGGAGGCCAAGTCACAGGCCCCAACCCACAGGGACCCGTCCTGCCTGGGAGGGCAGTGAGTGCTCTGGCATGATCAGAGTGCCCTGGCCAGATCACGGAAGTGGGCAGCTGCCTTCGAAGCTCTCAGTGGGGCCTGGGGAGAAATCTGGTATTTCATGTTGCCTTGGAGGAGGTGCGGAGAACCTCGGCATCTTGCTTAACCATCCTTTCTGCTTCTCCAGAGGACAGACCCTCCAGGCACCTGGGGATGTCCCCTTGGGTTGTGGAGTCCCAGCCCAAACCAGTGTCTGTCTCCAAGCGGTGCCTAAGCTGTGCAGCAAAGGCTGCGTTCCCGAAGAACAGGTGGCAGGCAGCATCCGATGGCGTCCTGCAGTCCCCTCCCCACGAGTTTGGGAAGGGGGTTGGCCAAGTGTAGCCACAAGCCACCACTCTGTCCTATTTTCCTTTTGTTCTCCTCATCCTATATTTAAAGCAACCGCCTCCCACTGCCAGCTGCTGTCTTCAATCCTTGGAAAGGCCGTGGGGCTGGGAGGAGAGCGCGCCTCGGAGGCAGAAGATTGGAATTGTTATTAGTGATACTCCCGAACTCCGAGGAGCCCCACATGTACCAGGCACGCCACCAAGCATTTTACAAACCTGATCCCGTCTGATTCTTACAGCCATTCTGTAAGGCGATGCCATCAGTGTCCCCCTCACAGAGGAGGAGTTGAGGCCGGCGAGCAAGCGGCGGGCCGTGACACCAGAGCCCACCTCCCGCACCTCTCTGGTGGCTGCCCGCCAGCTTGGACAGCCACTTTGCTTCCTCACCTGTGCAATGGGATTCGCAGCTCCTGCCCTGCCCCTTCCCAAAGTCACCGTGGGGTGTGAGTGTGAACCTGCTGGCAAGCTGGAGGGCTGGTCAAGGGTTTGGGCCAGGGGCAGTCTGGGGAGCCAGCCCCGCCTTGGGCCTTGGCCCCAGGTATGAAGCTTGGGAGTCTGGAAGACTTGGCTGCACAGGGCAGGTAGGTTATCGCCTCTAGCCCCTGTAGGCACCTGGGCCCTGCAGAGCCAGAGCGGGTGACCACACACACACACACACACACACACACACACACACACACCCATCCCAGACAGCTGGGTCCCACACAACAACAAAGGACCAGACCCTGTTGCTTCCTCCTGAGCCTGGACAGACAGTTCCAACAGGAAATGCATGTGAGACCTTGGCTGTTGACCAAGCAGTGTCCACACTGAGTTTGCTCTTCCAGCCTCAAAATGGCCGGCAAAGCAGGCCAGGAAGGTTCTGTGAGGATCTCTCTCCCCTAACAGTGGGGAAATGGTGTCACACAGAACCTGTGACATGCTGGAGCAGGGCCTGGCCTCAGGCTGAGGGTTTCCATGACCCCTTCCCTACTGTACCCCCAGACATACACTTTGTGTCCCCACTGTGCCATGTTTTTTGTCATGGTGCCTACACCTGCTACACTTGATTTACTCAACAGCTGGGACCATGTCATCTCTCTGTGCATCCTGATGGCCAGCCCAGGGTCTGATGCATATTGAAAATGCATCATGGTGGGGGCAGGAGAGGGCAATGGCTCACGCTTGTAATCCTAGTACTTTGGGAGGCCCAGGTGGGCGGATCATTTGAGCTCAGGAGTTTGAGACCAGCCTGAGCAAGAGCAGAGACCTCATTTCTACTAAAATAGTAGAAAGAAATTAGCCAGACAACTAAAAATATATATAGAAAAAAAAATTAGCCAGGCATGGTGGCGCATGCCTGTAGTCCCAGCTATTTGGGAGGCTGAGGCAGGAGGATCGCTTGA